CCAGATGTGACTGGGGTCTCCAGCCTCAGCTACCACCAGGATGCCACCTCTTCCGTTCCTGAGACCTGCCTAGCTGAGCCCAGCCAGCCACAGCCACAAAGACGAGGATAAACTTAGGTTCTGTTTTAAGCCACTAAATTCGGGGAATCTGTTCAGCAGCAAGATTCAGGTCCTCCGAATTGGGTGCCCATGTGACACAGCGTAATGTGTGTGGCACTGGGTGGCCGGTGGAAGACAGAATTGCAGTCAGGAGACTGAGGAAAATGAGCAAACGTGGCAGGAAGCTGGCAGAAGGGGGACCCTCGTTCTCAGGTCGCAGAGACTCTGTCAGCCCTGCTGCCTGCGACGTGGGAAAGAGTGAACTCTGTGATCTGGGTAAGGAGATTCGGAAGCAGAATAGTAAAGGTACTTGTGTCACTCTGTTTCCTGTTGCCATCACCAGTGCCTAAGTTGATCAACGTCAGAAGACAAAAGCTTCATTTGGGGTCTATTCGGTCCATGACAGTTGGCCCTGTTTCTCGGGCGCAGGACGAGGTACACCTCAGGGCGGGAGGACACAGTGGGATAACGCTGCCTTCCTTATGGCCAGGAAGAAGAGGAGAAAGCAAGTGGAGGGGCCAGGTCCCCCAAGCCCCGTGGAGGGCCACCCAGTGACCTGAGGACCTCCCACTAAGGTCCGCCTCCTAAAGGCCCCTATTTGCCAATAGTACTGCTACCCCAGGGAACAAGCCTTGACCGCGGGGACCCTGAGAAATGGTTTATTTCTTTTGGGGGAAAAGAAGGTATGTACAGTGGGCCAGGTCTGGGGATGACAAAACCAGGGATTCTTTCCAAGTTCTACTTTAACATGGTATCTGGACCCCTAAAACAAGAATTCTCAACCTGTTAGATACAACACGTTCTTTTTCTATTTTTTGGTACTGGGGGTTGAACCCCGGGCATTCTACCACTGAACCACATCCCCAGCCCCTTTATTTTTGTATATTGAGACAAAGTTTCGCTAAGTTGCGGAAGCTGCCTTGAACTTGTGCCTCCACCTCCGGAGCCACTGGGCTAAAGGACATGCACCACCACACCCAGCCAGCACTTTCCTTTTTATAGCCAATACTCTTAACTCTCCCTTCCACTATCCTGAAATAAAATTCACTTAAAAAATTAATATTTTGCTTGGCATTCAGTTGTCATGTTGGTGGGCAGGAACTGACTCAAGATGCTGTGAAATCTGATTTTTCATTGGATTGCCCCAAGCACCAACAGCACTGTTTCACAGAGGCATTTTGAAAATAAAGTTCAGAGAAACAAAAGCTATTTCGGGAGGATAGTGAAATTGCAGTGCATCTAAAGGGTGGGGTGGCTGATGCCCTCCTGTATAGAGCCACCAGAATGTTCAGTTGATGGAACAGCATATACCATGTATCAATCTATGGCTTCATCTCCCAAGAAGCAGGACTGACTATAGTCATCTCAGCAATCATAGGTTGTTTCATTCAGTTCTCTGTGGACTAGTAATCTCTTAATAACTGAGCTCTTCTTTGGGGGTAAATATTTCCTTGATTAGTACAACTAGTTGACTTACACAGCTACCACCAATAAAGCAATCTTCACCATGAAAAAAAAATTTTCTTGCCAGGCGTGGTAGCACATGCCTGTAATCCCAGTGACTCTGGAGCCTGAGGCAGGATGATCTTGAGTTCGAATCCAGCCTCAGCAACAGTGAGACGCTAAGTAACTCAGTGAGACCCTGTCTCTGAATGAAATACAAAATAGAGGTGGGAATGTGGCTCAGTGGCGAGTGCCCCCCCGAGTTCAAGTCTCACTACAGAAAAAAGAAAAAAATGTTTTTCCTTGTGGGGCTCAGGAACCCAACTCAGGGCCTAGCCCATGCTGGGCAAGAGCTCTACCCATGAGCTGCTACACCCTCGGCAGCCAGCTGCCATTTCGAGAAAGGCCAAGGGGATGAGCAGGAAGATCCATTAGGCTCTCGGAAAACCCAGGAGCCCGGATTCAGACCAACAGACCAAGGAACAGAGCGGTGGATCTGGTTGCTGAATTCTGGGATACATTTTTTCTTTTTTGTAAGAGACTGAACCCAGGGGCACTGAACCACTGAACCACATCCCCAGACCTTTTTTATATTTTATTGAGAGACAGGGTCTAAGTTGGTTAGGGCCTCACTTAAGTTGCTGAGGCTGGCTTTGAACTCATGATCCTCCTGCCTAAGTTTCCTGAGCCCCTAGAATACATTTTTTAAGTGTGGCTGAGAGTCCTGTGGAGAGACTGAACGGAGGGGAGAGCCCAACAGGTGTCAAGGATGACTTCAAGGGGTTTGGCTTGAGGGACTGGGAAGAATGGAGTTGACATTTCTAGAGACAGGAGACCAAGAGGAATAAGCTGGGGTTGACATGTAAGGATTTCAGGTCGCAGGTGATGAAGGCCTATTAGACATCTGAGATGTCCAGTGTCTGTAGTCCAGAGGGGACTTGGACTGGAGATGCAAATTTGGGGTCTACCATGAGTGATTGGTAATGAATCAAAGCCATGAAATTGAAATAATCCAACCATTCAAATGGAGGGTTAGGTCTAGAGTGGACCCCAAGAACAAAGCACCTTCCAGAATGCTCTGCTGTTTCTCCTTGGGCACTCTGGACCATTTCTGGAGTATTGCCATACAGGTCGGGGTCTGAAGCCAGACAGCCTAGGTTCATGTGCCAGTTCTCCCACATTCTCCTTCACATGGTTGTTGACTATCATGTGAGTTAATAAATGTAGGAGTAGGTCACACAGAATATGCTCATGAATCACAAATTATCAGCCAACCTCAGATTGACTTCCTGCAGCTCACAGCTGGCTGATACCAACACCACACATAGGTTACTACAGAAGTTTCCTTCAATCAAAAACTCGCCTGGTCAGGAGGTGCCTATTTGGGTCACTTTAATATCCAATAAGAACATCATGCAGTTCACTGTTTTATGTACATAGCCCAGAATTACTTAAAGGGAACACATGTGCTCAGTTTTTCAAAAGACATTCTACCAACTCCTTTTTAGAACCCACACACCAGTGAGTCACAATACGCAAGAAGTTATTTTAATCGTCTTTCCCTCAAGAATTGTTTCTCTTTTGCTGATGATTCGCAGATTCTCTTTTTTCTTTGACAACTTTCCTTTTTGTCAAGACCTTCTTTTGAAATAATCTGGAATTTATTTTAACATCTCTAATGAATAGATTGAAGGCAAGTCTGAGTTTCTGCAATATGGTCACCCTGAGACTGTAAAAATGGAAAAGCAAAGCACTTTCATTCTTGAGAGTCTGGCAAGAGAATGACTTCATCCACACCCTGTCCTGGGCCCTGCCCCAGAGGTCCTTGAAACCTCAAAATTGTGAATATTCAAAAAACCCCAAATGCACATGGAGGTAGAAGGCAGCATCTTGTTATCTTCATGGGGGATGATTGGGGAACTCAAGTCAATTCTGTGCCTCCTAAGAGTTTATAATCAGGTGGAGAGGAAACAAGCAATATCCATTTGTGAGAGAAATAAAGAACAAAAATTAGGAGCTGGGGATGTGGCTCAGTGGTAGAGCACTTGCCTGGAGTGTTTAAAGCCCTGGGTTCAATTCCCAAAGAAATAAGAACAGGCCAAGCACTGTTCAACATACAGTAAGCTTAGTAGAAAGTAAGTTGACAGGATTATCTGCATGGTAGGATTATGGGAAATTTTAATCTTTTTCTTTATGTTCATTTATATTGTCTTTTATTAGAATAGATACATTGTGGGGCTGGGGATGTGGCTCAAGCGGTAGCACGCTTGCCTGGCATGCGTGCGGCCCGGGTTCG